CTTCGGAGATTCAGGACTTGTTTCAGGTATCAGGATGATATGGGGGCTTTGGGGGTATAACTTGCACATAAATCGAGGTAATAAGGGTGAGAGAGAAGAATTTGAGCAACCAAACTCGGCTGACCTTGCTTTCTATTTATAGGGGTTGAAAAAATATGCTCATGTCGTGAGCCACAACTGCTCACGTCGTGAGCTCGAATATGTCACTGCGTTTGTCATGGCCACTTGCCCTGGAAGACGCCCATCACATGCTCACGTCGTGAACACTGTGCTCATGTCGTGAGCTTTGACACAGGTGGAAGTTTGTGCCTCGAACTTCAGAAACTCATATCTTTCGCATACAAGCTCTGTTTTCGACGTTCTTTATATCCACGCGTAGGTGAGATTATGTTCTACAACTCCCATTTAGACTCCATCGGCAAATTTTGACTTTAACTTTTATCATATTATTTTTAGTAGGTCGGAACAGGAAAACTCCGTTAGAAATTCATAACTCCTTCATCTGACGTCCGTTTTCGTCTTTCTTTTTACCGTTGCATTACTATCGACGAGATATTCGATTCTCATTAAGATTATTTCGGCTAGAAATCACTTGATCTCGTATTCGAACTTTGGGTTGCATACTACTAAGTCGAAACTTCGAAAAATCATAACTTCCTCATACGAAGTCAGATTTAGACGTTCTTCTTATGCATGCTCTCGGTTTAACGTATTTTACGACTTTCGTTTAGATCACTAAGGCTAAATATCGCTCTATCATAAACTTACTATTTACGTCATGTAGTGTCGTATGGGTTCTGTTGCGAAATTTCGACAGGTCATAACTTCTTCGTTTTAACTCGGATTTTGGCATTCTTTATATATCCGGAACCCTTGTCACGACCACTACAACTTCCTTCATAGATATTAGGCTTATCTAATATTTTATTATTATGCTTATTTTTTTATTCTTAACTCATTTAAGCCACACAATTAAGCATAAAACACATAATACTCAAATAATACATTTCTATTATTTCAAAATGAGTTACAAAGGTTAACCTAGACTATTACATCAATATTAACGTCTAGCCTAGAAACACGGGCGTTACAATATTCTTTCTTGTACTTGTTCGGTAAGGTGACCAACTTTTTCCTCTTTGACATGGTGGTTGAGTAGGTGACCGGTTGGGTGTCTTCTTTCTTGGGATACGTATCCTTTAAAGGGTCCGACAGATTTATCGTTTCCGACTCTTGTGGTTGTTCTACCACTGGAGTTAGTTTCTCAATGGTAGTGGGTGGCTCAACCTCTCTTTCGTTAACCCTTATTACTTCCTTTACAGTTTCATTGACAACATTCTCAATTTCTTCCTCATTTTTAACAGCCTCTTCCACTCCTCCTTCTTCTTTCTATTCTTCATATAACACTTTTGGGCCATCAAAAAATTTCTCATCTTTCAAATGAATGGAACATGCGCTATGAGATGGACTATCTTCGGATGGTAGTTTGTCTTGAGCTTCCATTATACTAATTAACTGAGCAAGTTGTGTTATTTGTTGCTCTATGATTTTGAGGCCACCTTGGCAATAAAACTTTGCAATCTTTAATTTCCAATAATTCCATTTCGTGTAATAAGCCAAATTTTGGTGGTATCTGTCATTCGTGCCAACTTGGAAAACATGTTAGACTTTTGTTTGATTCATCTACGTCTAATGTTTCCAATATTTTTGATATTGTTCATTCGGATGTATGGACCTCACTGATGTTAAGTATTAGTGGTTTACGATACTATGTTATATTCCTTGACCACTATTCTCATTATCTTTGGGTATTTCCTCTAAAAAAATCTGAGGTGTTTACAAAATTCCTATTTTTCTCCAATTACATCAAAAACCAATTTGGTAAAACCATAAAACCTCTCCAGTATGACAATGGGGGTGAATACAACAATCAACAATTTCATAACCATTTTGCAACTAATGGCATTCAATTTCGATTATCATGCCCCATACATCCCAACAAAATGGAAAATCTAAACGAATGTTATGAACAATAAATAACTCAATTTGTTCCTTCTCTGCCAAGACCACATGCCTCACACATATTGGGTGGAATCCCTTCACAATGATACACACTTAATCATCATAATCCCATCCACCACAATTCAAAACGACACACTTCATTTTCACCTATTCCAAACGCATCCTACATATACCCACCTTCATGTTTTTGGCTCTCTATGTTTCCCCAACCTCACCACTCCCCATAAACTTTCCCCACGTACCTCCCCATGCATTTTCTTGGGTTATCCAACCAATCATCATGGTTACCGATGTCTTGATCTATCATCACGCAAAATTATCATCTCCCGAAATGTTATCTTTGACGAAACCATCTTTCCATTCAAATCTGTCACACCAAATGAAGCTCCCTCATATGGTTTTCTTGATGTTACCTCTACACCATCACCTACATTCACCACTCCATCCCACTTCTCTACTCAGACAAATCCAAGCGCTTAACCCCATACTTTACCCTTATCATCGACTTCACCATCTTCCTCAGACCAAACCACTCCCTCCCCATCTCATGAAACCTCGACTCCTCCATCCTCTCCACCTATATCTTCTCACACGGCTCAATCTGACCCCCCCCCCCATTCTACCTCATGTTCATCATCACATGATTACTCGTGCAAAACACGATATTGTCAAACCTATTCAACGCCCCAACCTTCATACCACTTCCATTTCTCCCGCTTATCGGTCACATTTGAAGGCGATACAAGACCCTAATTGGCGAAAAGCCATGAATGATGAACTTAATGCTCTTATGACTAACGATACATGGTAACTTATATCATGACCTTAATGGGTGAATATTATCAGGTCGATGTGGCTATTTCGTCACAAATTTCATGCAGATGGTACTCTTTCTCGCTACAAAGCAAGACTTGTAGCCAATGGATGCAGTGAGCAGCCAAGAGTTGATTGTGATGAGACTTTTAGCCCTATTGTCAAACCGGAAATGACTCATACCGTTCTTAGCCTTGCAGTCTCTCACAAATGCTTATTCACCAGCTTGATGAGAAAAATGTCTTCCTTCACGACCACCTACATGAAACAGTATACATGCACCAACCTCTAGGATTTCGTAATCCACAATTTCGTGATCACGTATACCTACTTCAGAAGTCTCTTTATGGCCTAAAACAGGCCCTTAGGGCCTGGTACCACCATTTTTCTCAGCATGCCACTAGTATCGGCTTTCCATAAAGTCGCACAGATCATTCTCTCTTTATTATGCAGACAGCAACAGCCACAACATACTTCCTTCTATATGTGGATGATATCATCTTGATGGCATCCACCACCTCTCTACTACATCATCATCACTCAGCTCATCCATGATTTCTCTATGACTGATCTTGGCCCCTTAAATTACTTTCTTAGAGTTTTTGTTGATCGGTCTGATAAAGGCTTGTTCCTCTCTCAACAAAAATATGCCACATGTATCTTGGAACATGAAAATATGCTAAACTGTGATCCATGCCATCCTCATGTTGAACCAATGCACAAACTGCAATCCACCGGCCCCGCAGTCTCCGACCCTACATTATACTGCAGCCTTCTTGGTGCTCTTCAATATTTGATATTCACTAGACCTGACATTGAGTTTGTTGTGCAACATATATGTCTATACATGCATGACCCCAGAGAGTAGCACCTTCATGCTCTCAAGCGTATTTTACGCTATATTTGTGGTACTATTGATCACGACCTCTAAATTCACATGTCACCCTCTGCAAACTTAGTTGCATATTCAGACGCAGATTAGGGGGGGGGGGGGGGTCTACTCGCAAATCTACATCAGGGTATTGTATATTTTAAAGATACAACCTTATTTCGTGATCCTCCAAACGTCAAGGGGTTGTTTCTCGCTCTAGTGCAGAGGCCGAATATCGAGGGGTAGCAAACACAGTTGCCGAAACCAGTTGGATTAAGAATCGTCTTTGTGAATTATGTTGCCCTACGAACAAAGCAACACTTGTATATTGCGACAACATCAGTGCCTTGTACATGTCTGCAAATCCAGTCAATCATCAACGAACCCAACACATAGAGATCGACATTCATTTTGTTCGCGACCAAGTTGCTCGAGGTCAGATATGTGTTCTTCACGTTCCTTCTTCTGCTCAATATGTCAAGATCTTCACTAAAGGGCTCCCTATGTCTCGCTTCACAGATTTTTGCTCGAGTTTAAACATTCGGGTGCTCAATCACGTTCAAATTACGGGGGATGTTAGAGTATGTATGTATTTGTAATAGTTTGTAACCCATTCATGTATAGATTAGTCTAGGCCCACTCTAGATCCGTTTACATTGTATATATATTTTGTAATGTAATCAATTAAGGATCGAGGGAGTTATTTGAGTTATTTGATTCAGTAATATGTTTGGCTTTCTGGTTTGTGTGAGCCCTATCATAGAAATTTTAAATTGGTCTTGAGATAGTGGCAACAACTCCACGATATAGTAAAATCAATAAATCTTGTCTAGCGTTAAACTCTTACATCTTATAAGAATTCTCTTTCATGCAAAATACAAACCCAAACTTGGACTTTTAACCATCCCGGTCGGTTTGGAAACTAGCATTTGTGTAACAATTTTCACATAGCTCCTCATCGACACCCCATACACTAAATTTATATCTGTTAATTAATATTTTTATAATAAAACTATTGGAAATTACTGGAAAAATGTAATTATAAATTTCCAAAAATGATAAAATAAATATGGAGGTGGAAACGTGATGGTTGTTGAGAAATTAATATAGAATTTGATTCAGCCACTTATCTATTTATTTGTTTGTTAATTTACAACCATATTTTTCAGCTATTTATGTTTTACTTTTTCTTACAACTAAAGCAATACCCTTTTTTTCACAAAGACTATATAACTTAAATAAAAATATATATATATATTTATTACTTTATATTTCTCGTGAAGTCACAAATTATAATATTTACAAAAAACAAATATGATAATATCACATCATGTATATAAAGAATCTCCCACTACTTCGTTCATCCTTAAAAAAGTTTTTACAAAATCAAGTAGTCACCACTAATACACTAGCCATGGCTGTGACCACCTTTTCCAGCGACTTCACCAGCTCAATTCAAGCAGCTCGGCTGTTTAAGGCCTTGATCCTTGATGCCCATAACCTTTACCCAAAGATCACACCTCTTGCTATTAAAAGCATCGACACAGTTGAAGGTGAAGGAGGCCCAGGAAGCATAAAGCAGATTAACTTTGAACAAGGTAGCTAGTTTCCATTTCTAATGTCCTTCATATGCATGCATGTATCTACATTTTCTTTATGATCGTTTGATTGATAGAAGTGTTCGGTTTATATCTTGATCAATTGTAAATGTGAAATTTGTGCATTGAATGTTAACTAACACTATTTAATTAATATATTGCTTATTATGTATTTGGAACATACAAGTGTAAGATTCCATCTCAAGACATTTAGGTTATATACAACAACTTGATTAGAAGATTTATTGAATCATAGTGAACCATGATCCTTAGGATTTATTCTAAATCGGATTAAAACCTACGTAGAGGTGCACATGCAGACACTAGCGGACCTACACAGACAGTGGTAGATTTTTATTATAATTTTATTTGTTATTATAAAATTTAGGTATTCTTTTTGTGAATTTATAATAACCGATGCATTTTTGTAATTTTATAACTCTAGTTGTTTCTTTTCTATAACGTCTTTCTAGTTTTTATAGATGTAAATGTATTTCATGTGTTCTATAAATTTAGAATGGTTAACACATTATAAGTTTAATAAAATATATAATAACTATTATTAATTTACTAATTTTAAAACCATTGAAAAAAATTATCGAGCAGATGGATTAATACTGCTATAGATATAAAAGTCTATTAAAAAAAAGTGAATCAATAATGTTTATCAAAAACAAAAAGTTGGACCAAACGGATTAGGCCAAGATCGGACTAGATAAAGACCAAAAAATATATCAGGTTTAGTTTAGGGTTTCTTGATGGACACGATCTACCATAATCTCTTATGTCCGTTCATTTATGTGCTAGAATAAAAAGAGATAGGATAATAAAGTTGAACACACTTTTTCTTATATTATACTATTATATATGATATAATCATAGGGAGTGGGTTTTTCTTTAAAACTAGTTAAATTCACATATCATATTAACTTTATCCGAAATCAAAACCACTACTTCTAAAGATTTGATTCACCTCAAGTTGATTTTTATTTTTAATCGTAGATGGTCAAATGAAATATGTGAAGCATAGAATTGATGCATTGGATGAGGAAAAGATGTTGTATGCATACACATTGGTCGAAGGTGGTGAAGCATTGAAGGAGAAGATCCATTCGATTTCTTATGAGATGAAGTTTGAGCCAAATCCAAATGGAGGGTGCATTGGCAACAAAATAAGCAAGTATCATGTAAAAGAAGGATTTGAGATCAAAGAAGAGGAATTTCAAGAGGGGAGATTGAAGGATTTTGGTGTCTTTAAAGTTATTGAAGCTTTCCTCTTGGAAAACCCTAATGCCTATGTCTAAGTTGGTCATTTTGCATGATTAAAATATAATATTTCAATCTTTGAATAAAGTTGTATGCATTGGTATGAACATGTTGTGGCTTTCTCTATGACTTGTGAGCCAATTAAGATTGAGTAGCTTTTTTGTAATAAATGAGATGAAATACAAATAAAATGCCTCGAATATTGAATCTTTTTGTCTCAAATCAAATGTCGAAATGGTGATACTTTAAATTATCCAATATGCAATTGCTCTATGTGTATATAGATATTGTTTATATCCTATATGCAATTGCTCTTGATTTTTGTGTGTTTGAGAGATGGAGTGTATGGATTGACTTTCGATTTTCAGATCACAAGAACACACATGTAGGTTTATCTCCACATCTGCTTTTCGAAAATCAGAGCATCAAAGAAATCGATTTGGAACGCACACACAATAACACATACAAGAAATTAAGAACATGAACGCATATAAGATCTGAAATCAAGAACTCAATCTGGAAATAAACTTGTGTGTGTTCAAGAGAGGGGGAGAGATGTGTTCTTGTTGCTTAAAAAATATATGGATGTTTAGAGATGAACAAGGTTGGCACAAAAATCATGTTGGACGAAAAAGACGACCAGAGATGTCATCGGAGGTTCCAAGTTGAAAAACTTCATTTACCTTGCAATACTCGGTTATAATAACATATTTTGAATATCATAAACAAGTTCAGTGGTAATACGTGTGTAAAATATTTAAATTAAAAAAATATATATCTTTTTTTAAATGTTTTTATTTGTTATGATAGGTTTCTTGGTGCAAAATTCCTTTCACATTCCAATCTCACATCAAACCTTTCTAAGCGATTTCAACACTTTAACATGAATAGTAATATGTTATGAGTTGCCTAACAAATCGAGTAAGGCTTATCTAAGTGTAAGTCTCTTACACGCTACATATAGAATAGTTAAAATGGATTTTATAAAATTCATATATGCCTTTATTTCATATATTACTTCCTTACAAAATTATTAACACTATAATTACAACTTGTAAAAGAATAAAAACACATCCAATAGTATTTCCATACTTCCCTTTTTGTCTTTCTTTCTATTTTTAAATATTTTTGCTAAAATACATTATTTTTCGCAAATTGCAAAATTCCTTTCGCACTTCTTCTAATGAACGGCCTCGCACCAAACCTTTCTAAAGGAATTAAAAGGCTCAAACGTTATTTTTTTAATTTATCTAGGATCAAAAGTCATTTTTTTCGTTTTTTTCGTTTCATATATTGTACAACTTTGTTATACATAAAATACTTTGTATTTTATTAAAATACATATTATATACATACATATGTACACATACAATATATAGAAGATATAATAAACAAATGTTTTAAGTAATATGTTCTCGTGGTGCACACTCTTACGTATGTGTATATCATGCATAACTTGATAAACTAAAAAACAATTCACGTATAATGAAATGAAATTTGCAAAAAAATGGAATTAAAAAAAGATGTTTAAACCTCAAAAAATAAAAAACAGATTCAGTTCCTAAGAAATCGTTGGGAAATTTATAGGAACTTCCGATGAATTTCCTACGAAATACAAAATTTGCCACAAATTTCTAGGAAATGCATAGGAAGTTTCAAGGGATTCCTAAGATTCAAACTCGTTTTTTCTTCATTTTCTAGGTTCAACCTTCATTTTTTTCATTCCATATGTTATGCAACTTCGTTATACATAAAATATTTTTATTACCAAAATATGTATTATACACATACACATGTACGCATATAATATATAGAATATATAATTATAAACAAATGTTTTGAGTAATGTGTTCTGATGGTGCACACTTATGTGTGTATATATCATACATAACATGTTAAACTAAAAAATAACTCGTTTTTTAACCTTTCTGGGAACAAACATCATTTTTAGTTCTTTATTTTGAGCAACTTTGTTATACATTAAATATTTTTATCTTACCAAGATATGTTGTATTATATGTATACACCTATACACTTACAATATATAGAATCTAGAATGATAAACAAAATGGGTTATAGTGATTCCTAAACACATTTATGTCATGTATTAATTAACTAGCAAGGGTTTAATTCATTTAATTAACACAAAAGTGTATATATAAATTGATTATTTATAAGCGATTTCCTTGAAAATACTTAGGGAATACCGAGGAAAATGTATTATGCATACATTCCTAAGAAAATCGTAGGAACAGTAAGTGTAGTTATAAAATAATTATTTTTTAACTTTCTACTTTAACCCGATATGATTTTTTGTCACAGGAAAAATTGTTAAAAAAATATTACTAGGAAATATCGAGGAAAGTTAGGTATTACAATTTTTTTTGTGTATCAAATTAATTTTTTAAATTGAATTTCTTAGGAAAAACGTAGAAACAATAAGTGTAGTTATAAAATGATTATTTTTGAACTCTCTACTTAAACCCGATATGATTTGTCACAGGAAAAAATGTTAAAAAAATATTACTGAGAAAATATCGAGGAAAGTTGGATATTACAAGTTTTTTTTGTGTATCAAAATTAATTTTTTAAATTGAATTTCCTAGGAAAAGCATAGGAACAATTAGTGTAGTTGTAAAATGATTATTTTTTAACCCTCTACTTAAACCTGATATGATTTTTTGTCACAGGAAAAATTGTTAAAAAAAATATTATTGAGGAAATATCAAGGAAAGTTGGGTATTACAAGTTTTTTTGAGTATGAAATTAATTTTTTAAATTGAATTTCCTAGGAAATCCCTCGGAAGTTCTGAAAAAACTTCATAGGAATCGGTTATACGAAACACTTCTAACGTAAATGTGAGGCTCTTTAGCATATTAAAAAAATGGTAATAAAAAACTACCAATGAGCGTTAAAAATATATTTATTTCCTAGGAAAAAGGTAGGAACTTCCCTTTTTGTCTTGCTTTCTTTTTCTTCTTTTAAATATTTTTGTTAAAATACTTTATTTTTAGCAAATCGCAAAATTCCTTTCACATTTCTTCTCGTGAATGGCCTCACACCAAACCTTTCTAAATGAATTGAAAGGCTCATAATGAATCCTCTACTTTTCATCTTTTTTTAATCGAAATTAGAAAGAAATACAAATATGATCGAAAATGCTTATAGAATAAAATACCTAAAAACATATTTTTAACACACAAGAATAAAACCGAAATAATTTTTGAAGTATCAAATATGATAAATAATGTTTAACAAGCATAATTTAGTAGCTCATTGTACCTTTTTCCCATTACAAATATAGTATTTTAATCTTTTAGTAATGTTTAGAAAAATGGAATAAAATAAACTCCTTTTTCCACACACAAACACAAATTAGATTCTTTAGATGTCCCACACCCATTCCCTCTTATATATTCCCTATTGCACAAATAAATTCCACATATTTTTATTCCTTCATTCCCTCTTCTATACAAAGCATCTTCTTTAGGACTTTCACCATTTTTCACCATCACCATGGTTCCAGAATTAGAGGTATTCTCCCGAAAAAACCATATCAGAATATACAAATCCAACAATTTCTTCATGTTCTAATGTTCTAATGTTCTAAAATTTCATGTCAATATGTAGAAACCAAAAGTCACCGAAATACAAGTCCGAATGGACTGTAACGGGTGCGTACAGAAGATCAAGAAAGCTCTACACGGTATCAACGGTGAGTACAAAGATTTTTGTGTTTTTGTCTGTCTGTATTTGATTTAATCGTCAGGAACAGTTATCTGTTATCGGTTATCTGTTATGGTTTTCAGGTATATACGATATTTATATCGACATCCCACAACAGAAATTAACCATAATCGGGTGGGCTGATCCGGAAAAGATTGTGAAAGCGATTAAGAAAACGAGAAAAACCGCAACCATATGTTCTCATACAGCGCCAGAGGAGTCAGAGCCGCCACCGGAAGACAGAGGCCCTGCAAACCCTCCGGGAGAAGAATCTCCGCCAGCGGAACAGACTCAGGCAACCGAACCGGAAAACCCACCTCCGGATGGTGGAGGAGCACCTCAACCTACGGAACCTCCGGCGAATGAGCCGCCACGATATGTCAGATCGGAGGTGGAAGAGGTTCATGTTGTGTATCGTTATCCACCAGATGGTCGTTACTCCAGCAGCCATGGTGGGTTAGGGTTCAACCACGAGCCGCCACAACCGGTTCATGTGAACCATAGTTATAACATGTATAAGCCGACACCTTATGTCACCGAATATGAATACATCCGTCCACCGCCGCCACGATACACCTCTTACAGTTGGCCGGAACCACCACCGCGATACACACATTACAGCCGCCCAGAACCACCACCACAAATATATAGCCGTCCCGAGCCATCACGACAAATTTACGGCCGCCCAGAACCACCATCACAATATTACGGCCGCACGGACCCACCACTAGAAACCTATAGCCGCCCAGAGCCACCACTACAGACCAACGACCGTCCAGAACCATCACGACAATATAATGGCCGTCCAGAGCCACCACCAGAAACCTACAGTCGCGCAGAGCCACCACCACAACCATACGGCCGCCCAAAGCCACCGGAGCAACATGACAGCCGGTCGGAGCTGCCACCACAGAATTACCAGAGGCCAGAGCATCTACAACATTACAGCCAACCAGAGCCGCCACAACAATACATACATCACAGCCGCCAGGAACCACCACAACCCTACTCAAGCTACCACCATCCAGGGTCACCACCGCCATCTCTCCACCACAGTAGACCTGAGCCACCACAACCCTACTCAAGCTACCACCATCCAGGGTCACCACCGCCACCTCTCCGCCACAGTAGACCTGAGCCACCACAACCCTACTCAAGCTACCACCATCCAGGGTCACCACTGCCACCTCTCCGCCACAGTAGATCTGAGCCACCACCTTTACAAACATACTATGGCAGACTTGAGCCACCACACTATATGGACTACAATGATGAGATTACATCACCTTACGGGGAAGAAGATCCAATTAATGGATGTACAATTGTCTAAAAAATGAGGCTTCTAGAAAGAGATTAATTAATCAATCTATCGATTAAAACCAGTCAAATTAAAAGTGTTCCCATGGATGCATGTGATGTTGAAGGAGAAGAACAAGGTTCGTAGCTTGATAAGTGCATGAAGAATATGTTCTTAATTCCTCTTTAGGATGAGGGAGATGTCTACCCATGTGGCTTTTTGTTATCTTAAAAAGCGACTTCAATGTATTTTGAAACGAATTACCAAATTTTAGACGTAACTAGAGGATAAGATGTAATTAGTTTCGAAATCGAATATATGATTTTAAAAAAAAAAAAAAAAAAAAAAAAAAAAAAAAAAAAGTTACGTATGTGTAATTGATGTAGAATTTGTAAAATCAGAATATTTTTAAAAAATAGAAAAATCTTCAAAATATATGCATAAAAACAAAGATAAAAGAAAGAAATTATAAAAAATAATTATGTAGAAAATAATTTTATAAAAATGAACTCATGAAAAAAATCAAAAAAGTAAATGCGCATTTGCACGAACCATGGTTTCTTATACCATGAGTTATGCTTCAAAAGGAGAACGTAACTATTATAACAATTAGCAAATCGATTGTTAAAATGATAAAAGCATTGCAAATTATATAGGAGTTATAATTTATCTAGTGATCAATATTTTAATTATCTTCTCTAAACCGATTAACCCTCACATGACAACATTTAAGCACACGGATTATTTTGTAGATAAAAGCATCGTTCATCATGTTGGGTTCTTTTGTATTAGTTAGTTGTAACATGTGCTTGTATACTTGTACCAAGTGTGAGGTTAAGATAAATGAATTCCCAACTATGTGTCACGTGTGTTAAAAAAGGGGAAAAGATGGACTCCTCCCTTGACCCTTATGAATGTTTTTGTTTACGATGATGAAAAGGTTATCATTTTGTTATATGGGACGGATTATTTTGTAGATGATTAAAACTTTTAAGTAATTTTACTATCAACTCTTTAAATAACTACTATTACAAAACCTTTTTTTATAAATTTTTGGTTTTATAAAATGATAAAAATTGAAGTTTCAACTCGGGATGCAAATGTGACAAGTCCTAATCATTCCAGTCTTTTTCATTCGTGTACTAAGTTTTTGTCCATATATTCATTTGTTCCACTCATTTTACTTTTCGATTCTCTTGTGGCCACAAAATCAAGTTGAAAGACAAAAAAAATCAAGAATGTTTGACTAATAGTCAAACGCTAAAATACCTAGTCTAAAAGCAATGAAAGAATCTTACAAAAAAGTAATTTTTACCCTTAGGCCAGAAGACTAAATAATTAATAAACGAAAAAGTTACTCATGTCCCAAACAAGAAGGAAAACTTTGAGACACCAAATTCGCAAACAAACATAACTACTTAACACAAAATTTAATGGAAAATTTTCTAAATTATACCTCAAAAAAAATATAAATTTCTACATGAGGAAAATGATTGAAAACTGACCTAATTATTATTATCTCCATCACTAGATGATTCATCTTCTTCATCATAAAGTAATTCCTCTTCTTCTTCTTCTGCTTCATCTTCACTTTCTTCCTCTTGTTTCAATATTTGGCTTTTATCAGCAGCCTTATTAATCTGCTCAAAATTAAATATCATATAAAAATATAAACAGATTACATATTTAAATATCATAAAAATAAATAAATAAATAACCTGTGCTGTAAAAAGCTGTAAGCGTCCTGATAACTGCAGTAAGGACTGAATAACCTCCCCTTTTGACTTTGTAAGCTGCAAAGAATTTTTTAAAAAAAAAATGTTTTGATAAAAACTCCATGAAAATAAAACATTTTTTAAAATGTATTATAGAATATTATTATACCTTGTACAATGAATCCAGTAGCTGTGATGTGGGTTCTTGAGATTTTATATAGTCACTATGATTAATTAATAAACAGCAAACCCATGGAAGAATGCATTGTCCATTCCATTCCAATCTTTCCTGATTCCATTCCATTGTATCAAAAGAAACAAACCTTGATTGCCACATGGCCAACAATACTTTCAACAATGTATATGCATCATCAGGTGTCATAGATGAAACAGCTGCTATCATCTATTATCAACATGTTCAGAATAGAATTATATTTAGAGTAAATTACACGAATGGTCCCTATGGTTTAGGGTAATTTTCACGTTTGGTCCCTAACTTAATTTTTTAACTCGGAAGGTCCCTACTGTTTGTTTTTGTTACGCACTTGGTCCCTATCTTACCTAAAAAGACTATTTTGCCCTTGATTTTTTAATTTTTTTTTTAAATAAACACACCCCAACCCTACCCACCTTACATTACCTTATCTCACCATTTTCCCTATTTAAATAATAATCTTTTTAGGTAAGATAGGGACCAAATGTGTAACAAAAACAAACTCTAGGGACCAAGCGTGTAACAAAAACAAACAATAGGGACCTTCCGAGTTAAAAAAAATAAGTTAAAGACCAAGCATGCAAATTACCCCAAACCACAGGGACCATTCGTGTAATTTACTCTTATATTTAAAAAAAAAAAAAAAAAAAAAAAGGCCAAGTGAATAAATAAATTAAAAATAGAAACCTGTTTTTGTGGCATATTATCTTCAAGATTAACACCCTTTAAAGGCTTTGATAATTGTAATTTATTAGAAGTAAAATCATTATCACTACTGAGAATGCCTTCTGTTCTCAACCGATCTTCAAGACACAATTTAACTTGATCCATTTCCATATTATCTGACCATAAAAACATATATAAGTCAATAAAAAAAAGTATAAATTTATTCTGTAATTTTTCTTCTGAATAAATAAAAATACAATACCTTTACTTGAAGTCATATCTCTGCTATCTCCATCATCAGCATTAGAAATATTGAGAACAGGAAGCAATGCATGTTCAGTATTTGCACGATCTAAAGCTGTAACTGTTAAAATCAAAACATATTTTAATAAATTACACATTTTCATCCATAAAAAATGGTTACAATTTACAACTTACAATTACCAAAATACGAAAGACAAAAGACAAAAAAGAAAAAGGGAATGTACTTTGGTTCTTGTTTTCCACCCCTTTCTTTGACTTTTGAGATTGGGTCAACGGAATTAGGATTCCATCAAGGGAGCTCTTTAGCATCACATCTGAACCACATTGTAATGTAATTTTCTCAAAAGATGGTTTTATTATTAAACCATGTGCAAGAAAAAGATTCCCAGTTGCAGGTTTTGAAAAGCTCTGTAGTTTAGCAGAGAAGATTGCAGGGACTGATCCTTTGAAGGAAAGATTGTCCTCCATGGATACTTTTGTGGGAATGGAATTGCGTAATTCCTCCATGTTGATTCCATTCCAGAGATAACAAACACCCATTTCTGAAATGGAAAGTACAGAAAGACCCTCGACACCAATGGATTTTGTGTCTATAAAAATGGCAGGATGATCCATTGCAAGAACACAGCAAGATGACTTCTTTTTGCTACCATCTACTTCCCATATCGCGATATATCGCTCACCAGAAGCGGATGAAATTACGTATTTACCCTCATCAGAGAAGGTCATACAACGAACAGCCCCCTGTTGTAGAATATGGGATTAAAATTAAATTATTAACCAGAAAGCAGAGACAGAAATGGAAATGTGTTCATTAGTTACAGGAATTATGTTATGATTGAGATATAGTATTTGTGTTTGTGTTGTTGATAGAAGGGTAAAATGGTCATTTAGTCTCATTCAGGCGATTTAAAAAAGAGACTTTGTGTCTACAAGAAGTTATCCTTATCCAGACATATACAAAGAATCAGTCCCTAAAGGATTGATATATAATTGCAGTATTGCACTTGTGTCATATATAGAAGAAGGGTAAAACGGTCATTTAGTCTCGTTTTCAGTTCAAAACAAAAACTTACAGGATGCCCAGAAAATTTCTGCATCTTTTTGCGATCTGAACAGCTGAAGATCTTTAATTGAGCTGCAGCTGTTGCTAAAACCTTCCCATCTGATTCCATATGTTATTAAAATACAAAGTCATAATTCATAAAAACATAATATAATATGTATGATCCAGTTGCTAATAAATGCCCTTTTAACTAGAATAATAGAAGTAGAACAATATATATACCTGGTGAAACAGACATTGAAGATATAGCTTTTGTGGAGGCTTTAAACTTGGCCAATAAGTTTCCTGTAATGGAATCAAGTTCACATATCATCCCATCAACACCAGCAGTATACACACATGATCCATTTGTAGGAAATGAGACAGCAGTGACACCCCTACAAGAAGAAAAAGATGAAATTGAATACAAGATTTTTATCAAGAAACTTGAAATGAATAGAAGAATGAATTTTGGACACATGGACTCACCCAGGATGACAATCACTAACCCTCCATTTCAATTGGCCAGCAGAAACATCCAAGCCAAGAACATCACCACCTCCAGTTCCTAAAATTAGCAAAGAATTTCGAAGCTTTCTTTTTTTCTGATCATAAATGGTAAAAGTGAAGTCAATAATGGTATTCATAGACTGAAAGTATTTGATTGTGTGTAAAAGTAAACCTTTTTCTCCAAGGAAAGCCATTTCATGCAAGTGTAATCAACTGATAAGTGTCCACCTTCTGGTTTAGCAAAAAAGTCTGTTTCATCTGTTGACACGATGTTTGCAAAGTCTGTTTGCACATGACCCTTGATTGTGTCCCAAATCTGAAGAACAAAGTCAAAGAAGCTTCAATTAGGACATAACACAAACAACATTCCATCTTTAATCCAGTAATTGCACTCCAGAAACATTAGAATTTATCAGTAATTAAAGCGAAAAGGACTCAAGCAAAGAACTAATCACTCCGTTTAAGAAGAAAAGAAAACTACATTGTAACTTTTTTTCATTTTTATTCTACTTTTTGTAAGCTTGATATGTATATATAATATATGCTATTCTAATTCGTAGTACTTGTTGCACGATTTAATGTAGTGCACAATAATTCTACAGTGGAGAATAGTCGTTTCCACATTCAAGGTCAAAGTGTAAAAATTCTTACAGTTGCAGAAAATGTTCGAAATGTATACCTTAATTCGACCATCGCCGGAGCTGATAGCAAGGAAATCTAACGATGGACTGAACGAAGTCAACACGTCTCTGATATTTGTTGTCTCCATTCTAACCCTATGTAGCTTCAATAAATTAAGCTCAGATAACCCCACAGCAAAAACGCTCAACAAATATATGTACTCGAATAATATACAGACAATTAGGCATACCTGTTTCGGAAAAGGCAGAGGAAGACGAAGATAACAGAGTTGTGGAGTAGCAAAGCAGCGGTGGTTCTTCTTCTTCTCTGCTCGTGAACTATAGAGCAAGCGGCGCCTTCTGCTAGTTAAGGAATGGTTCGAAAAAGTAACCCTCTTGGTTGTGTTCAGTTTTGCCCCCTTTATTTCTGTTTTTTCTCAAAAGGAACCCGTTTTCAAAAACTTTATTACAAAAAAATATCCTTCAATTTCAATTTTCAACCTCATGGGTTCAACATATTCAAACTTTGAGAGGTTATAAAGTTAGCTGATAACCGAAAAGTTTGTTATTATATGATAAAAAATAATGTTTGATAAAAAATCAGCTAAGAAATATAATGAAATGTTTATAATTAATTAAAATATATATTTAGAAGAATTTAAAAGACTTTGCAAGCTAACTGAAATTCTAGTTCAGATAGATTTTTCAAAAACTAACTTGTATGTAATTTTAACTTGTCAAACATGACAATCTATAAAACTCGAATAAATCAAGTAGAGAATAATTATAACACCTGATTCAAGGTACTTTTCATTTTTGACCCTTGGTGTGTACATAGTTTGTAAATTTGGTCCCTGGGAGCATTTTTGTCATTTTTGGAAAAGTAGGAGTACGTTGGGCGTACTTCTCGTACGTTAGGCGTACGTAACCAGGGGAAACCCTAAATTTTAGGGTTTGGACCCTATTTAAGCAACATTATGACCCATGATCCCCTCATTTATCATCCTCCATTACCCTTTGAGTCTCATTTCGAAACCCTAACCCCTCTAGAGAATATTTGACCTCTTTGTGTGTCTTTTAGTGTGTGTTGGTGAGCCTTGAGGAAGAAGAGTCTTGAAGTAGGAGCTTTGACCAAGGGATAACTTCTAGATCCAAATTCTACTCATCATTTCCAGCTTCATTGAGGTAAAAAGGTTGGAACTTGCTCATTATATGCTTAGATATAATATTATGGAGTTTTGTTCACTTTTTAGTCCCATGAATGAGATCTACTAGGATTCTTCCACTCCAAAAGTTTGGAGTTGCTTCTCTTGATGTTTTTGAGATCATTAGTCCATAAAGGTAGCATCTTGATGGTTGTGGATTAACCATGCATGTGTTTATGTCCATTTGGTGAAAGTATGATGCTAAATATAGGGTTTGAGTTCTTTTGAGCGATGCAAAGGTTCCAAGTTGATGACTTTATGAATTAAGATGTCTCAAATGCTTGGATCTGAAGTTTGGATGTCTGGTTGTAAACATTATGTGCTTAAGGGAAAAAGTGCTTAACGGGCGCGTACGCCTTCGAGTCCTCGATTAGGCAAGCCACCTGGTACGCTAGGCGTACTTCTGGTACATGCAACGTACCAGGACTGGTCTTGGGCTTCATGGTTTGGGCCATATTTGGACTATTAGGGTTTTGGGACTTGTTGGGCCATTGTTAGGATTTTGGACTTCTTGGATTTGGGCCATAGTGGGCTTTGGGTAACCTTTAAGAATTAGGCCACTATTGGGCTTTTAGTGCCAATGAGTTTGGGCTTCGGATATTAGGCCAAGTGAGGAAAGGGTAAAATGGTCTTTTACCCTGGTTGTTGGACCAATGAACTAGATTCCCAGTTATGGTTTATGACCCAATTATTAATTGGGTTTTTATTTGGTTGATTAGTGCGAGGATTCTCCGGTTCAACAACCCGAGCATCTATTGACTAACAACAAACCGAGGTGAGTTTGCTCAATATATAGTAGGACACTAGGGATTGTATATGCTTGTAGTCTTTGTGACTTATGTTGTATGTGTTGTATGCATGTGTGTAACGCCCCAAAATTACCGGTTAAAAATTTCATTTTTAATTTAGGTGAAAACGTAAAACATCATTACAAACACTCATGATAAAAATCCATGTCTGAGAAACCGGTGACATCATAATCAGAATTCAGAGTACATCCCAGAAAATCTATAATGCGGAAACAAAAGGCGTATGTGTGATATGTTGCTACCGCGCCGGCTCCTTTCCCCTAGCTGAAGAGGTACCTGAAATCAAAACTGCAAACCGTAAGCACAAAGCTTAGTGAGTTCCCCCATAATACCCCATACCATGCAAACATATAACAAACAACATTCAACTGTGAGATACGGGCCCTGCCCACACTCGTGAAGATACGGGCCCTGCCCACACTTCGCTATCTGGGAGATACGGGCCATGCCCACACTCGTGAAGATACGGGCCCTGCCCACACTTCGTTATCTGGGAGATACGGGCCTAGCCCACACTCCACTCTCGGAGAGATACGGGCCTAGCCCACACTCAACCGCCAACTCATATCATACAAGTATCACACAGACAACAAGTATAGACAGCTCTATCATACTAGCATATATCGTAATCACTCAATTAAGAGATACGGGCTCGGCCCACACTCTAATACTAACGTCTCGTCTATACGGGCCCGCCTTGGTGCCTTAGACCCGTTACTACTGAAAGGAAACTTACCTCGAAATAGCTGCTGGTGTGTGTGGGAACCGACTGTCTGCTGCTGCTGCTACTCCGGAAATCCTCCGGCTGTAATTCCCACAACATACTCAATCAATCACTATTTACTGCCTTTTTGGGTGAAATGACCCTTTTACCCCCGACCATGCCCTAAGTCAAAGTCAGAGTCAACTTCCAGTTGACTCGACTCCCCAAGTTAGCTATCCAACTCGTCGAGTCCATGTCCAAACGACTATCCAGGATTCTTGTAACATCCGGATTTTACCAGGTATCTTGTAAATCTAATTTTGTCATATTGTGAGAGGGACTCGGCGAGTTGGAGCTCAGACTCGCCGAGTAGAGACGCGGAATTGAACATTGGTGCGCGCCTGGACTCGGCGAGTCTACGCTGTGTAATGAAACCCTAAATCTTCGGGTTTGAGGCCTATTTAAAGGGCCTTATGGCCGTCATTTGTGCTCACCCAACCCTCAGTGAGTGTCCCTTGTGTTCTTGAGCTATTTGTGAAGAGAAAGGAGCCATTCTTGATCTTGTGTGTGTTATTTAGCAAGAAGAAGGAGACCCTAGGCAAGAGGAAGCAAATGAGGTTGCTATTTCGTGGATTTGGAGCTTAGATCATCACTCTAGAGGTATTATCTCGGACCATTTTCTGTTTAGTGAAGTATGATGCAATTTAGGGCTTGTGGTGGTCATTTATGGGATGATTTGATGCCCATTGGTTCCCTCTTTGAGTTGAGGCCATGGATCTGGATCCATAGAGGTCCAGAGAGCCTCACTCATCAAGCTTTATGAGTGACAATAGAGTCTTTGACCTTGTGTTGTAGTATTTGAGTCATAAACATCATATATGGTCATATAGAGGTTGTATGTGCATCAAGATTGTAACTTTACGTGCTAAATGAGCTTGGAGGGACTGGATCTATGGATTAATGAACTGGATCTGACCTTTAGAGCAAGATTGAGTCAGTGCATGGCATGGACTCGCCGAGTCCGAAGAACAGACTCGGCGAGTAGCATGAATGTTGCCCGACCACACTGTGAGTGGCCTCGCCGAGTTGGGAAAGGTGGACTCAGTGAGTCAAGGGGGAGTCAGAATGGACAGGTGGACTGAGTCTAACTGGACTCGCCGGGTTGTTCTTGAGACTCGGCGAGTTGAGTCGTGGTGGCCCCACAACTCGTGCCAGGTGGAACTCGTCGAGTTGAGGGAATGCTCGACGTGTCAAGGGAGGATTCCAGGGAAATTGGTGTACACGCCCAGACTCGCCGAGTCGCCTGGGTACTCGCCGAGTCCGGTCAAAGTTGACCGTTGACCGTTGACCAGCGTTGACCTAGATTGACTTGTTATAGTGTGGTCAACCCTAGTTGGGAAAGTGTTAATTAGAGGTGTATTGTGCTATAGGGGGACGATAGCTCGACAGGTCGAGTGATTAGCGATTTCAGGTTTACGATTTACCGAGACACACGAGGTGAGTCTTCTCACTATACTTTACCTTGAGTAGGTAACCAGAGTTATGTGATAGAGTATTTGTATGCTATGCATGTTATGTGTTGTACTGCATTACTTCCATGTGTTTGATGCTGTGCATGTTTACAGAGTTAGAACCGGAAGGTTCACAGAGTTAAAACCTGAGGGTTTACAGAGTTTGGGTGCACGGACCCACAGAGTTATAGCCTCGAGTGGCTAATATGTGTTATATGTAGTATTTTGGGGAACTCACTAAGCCTTGTGCTTACAGTGTTGATGTTATTGTTTCAGGTACTAGTGACGACCGCGGGAAGGCGCCGGCTTGATCCGTACACACACACATTCGGAGCTTGATATCATGATCTTGGGATTTGTATTGTCTTGTTTGGATAATTAAAATGGTTGTTTATTGAATATCAATGGAATTATGTTTTATAAAAATTGAAAAATTTGTTTTGAAAATTTTCGGTGTTACAATTCTGTTTCTACTCGTCGAGTTAGGCGTTGACTCGACGAGTTCTCCATCCAAACTAATGTTCAAGTCCTTCATCCTACTCGCCGAGTTGTATGAACAACTCGGCGAGTTCATCTTCATCCGATGAACACTTATGCTGAGACTCGCCGAGTTGTATGAACAACTCGCCGAGTCTGATCTTGATCTAAGGAGATTGCCTTGAACTCGCCGAGTCAGGGCATCGACTCGCCGAGTTCCATTATGGGTGAGTTTTAGCTACCAACTCACCAAGTCCTTCCTGGACTCACCTCACGACTCGACATAACAAAAAGGGGGCAAACCCGGAGACTCGCGACTGGACTCGCCGAGTCAGATGAGCGACTCGCTGAGTCCGTTCCATACAAGAGCTAAAAATGCGATTTTGCTCGAATCCAATCCATGTCATTTGTAGATCTGGGCTCCTAGAGCATGAATAACACGTAAAGTTTCCAACTTTACGTGTAAATATCCATATATGGGGTTTTTAGCGTTTGGAATGCACCAAAAGAGTAGATCTAAGGTTTATGTGCAATATGGGCTCATAAAGGTAGTGGATCTGAGCTCCTGGAACTCAACTATGCTTGGATCAAGAGACTAATCGGCTTATTTCAGAACATTATGCACATACAAGCTTGGGGAGTGGCTCAATAATGTCTTAAATGAAGCAATAAGCATGGAAACAAAGGAAAAACGAGATATACCTCAATGGAACTACTGAGAGAACACAATGGTGCTTGGATGGCTTCCTTTCTTCTGGATCTACTTCCCTTCTTCTTCAAAACCTTCAAAAACACACAACAATTGCTTCAACTCTTCAAAGAACAAGCTTAAACGAGGGTTGGGAGCTGTGGGGGTGAATGGGGGCTGGCTTGGGCGGATATGTTGCTTCAATAGGGTGCAAACCCCTAAACTTAGGGTTTCATCCAACAGCGGTGACTCGCCGAGTCCAGGATATAGACTCGCCAAGTCGCCAACTTAAACGTGTCCCGGGTCTCGTCCCTACTCGGCGAGTCGGACCTATGACTCGCCGAGTTCAAGGCTTAAAAAGGAAAAATACTCAATTAAGATTTACATACCAGGAACTAGGCGCTACAATGTGTGCCTGTCTGCTATATGTATGTGGGGGTGAAATAGACCCTAAGGTGAAATAGACTCGACACAGCCTTGAGCTAGCATATAAGCTGAAATAGACTCGGTGGTGAAATAGACCGACATAACCTTGAGTTGGCATATATGTATGGTATGCGATATTTTGGGGAACTCACTAAGCTTCGTGCTTATGGTTTTTAGTTTATGTTTCAGGTACTTCCGAACCGAAGGGGAAGAGCTTGGGTAGCGATATAAATGATACATTATGCTAAGAGATTCGAGGGGTATTAGGCCACTAGTTTAATTATTGTAAGACTTGTAATATTTCGTTATGCGTATGCTTTTGTATTGACGATGATATCCGAATATTTTAATATAAATAAAATACATTTTTTCGGAAATGCTTTGATAATATCATTATCATGTTTTTGGGAACAAATACTGCAATATTATTTATTAAAAATGATACTCCAATTTTAAATAAGCATAAATAAATCAATCTTTTCTGGCAGTAAGATGCAAAATCAAACAACCAAGTTTCATTAAGAAGCAAACTCAGTCAAATCTGATTTAATTAACAACTATCAGATAGCCCCTTGAGACTTCAAAAGTTCATAATATTTATAAGTTGACCAAATTACCCTTACAATAATTATGGTATTTTATCATAAACAATAAGAGTCGATGCCCTCTTGTTTATCGTGAATAAACATGAAATTTACAGCCGTTACAACCTAAATTTAACATTTTCTAGAAAAACCATAAAACATGATTTGGCACTAGTAGTCATTTAAACATATTCATATAATACTTTTAGAAAATAGACCATACAAAGAGATATTTAGCATGCTTGAAAATATCCACACATACTCATATAAAGAAACTTTTCATTATGAAAGGGTGTTTGAGATTTCATTTTGAATTTAAAAATGACTTTTGTCAAAAAAGACTTATTGACTTTTGAACGTAAGAATATGATTTTTTTAAAAAGTGTTTGGATTAGCTTGTTAATGACAAAACTCAATAAGTTAATAATTTAAAAGGTACTTGACTTAAAATTGTCTTTAGTTTTCCTAATCTAATACATTATAAACCATTTCAAAAAGTCACAATTTGTTACTTCTTGAAAACTCATTTTCAAAGGCTAAACAAAACGAAGTTTTAAAAGTCTTTATTAAGTATCCAAACATTTTTTTTTAACTTATTGTTTGTTAGAAATTTGGGGTATAGAAAGACTTAGAAATTCCAAGAATCATGCTGAACACTTTCAGATTAAAGTATTTGGATGGTACTTCTAAACTTTAATCGGATAAGATCCAGAATATGAAAGAAAGAACATAGAATATAATTGTTATGTTTTTCGAGTGTACCATTAAAGTGAAGACCAAAATTGGTTAAATACCTTTTCCATTAGAAAATTGTCACAAGACAATCTTATGTCTGAAAAATTGTCACTAAAACAGTTTGATGTACGAAAACTGTCACTAATCCATGTTCTTTCTATAAGGGTCAAAACAAAGTCAAAACCGGGTTTATTTAAAAAAAAAAATAGATTTCTGATGCATTTTCAATATAGCAATATAATCCAAATAAAAAATTTCAGCTCGACCCCAGCTAGGGGCTACCGCCCCTTGGACCCTGCTCCCATGGGTGCTGCCCCCGGACCCCATTCGTTCATGGACTTCACCCCTAAATGAGAGTTTACTTTGAATTTTGAATAAACTTAAACAAACATACACTGTGCACCTTCTCTACTTGTTTAATAATCATCAATATTGGTTTTGGTCAACAAGTCAATCCATTACACTTAAAATACACGTTGATGATACAAAATCACCAACATTGACTTAGAAGTCAAAAAATTAATAAGAAAATTTTAGATGAGCACCCAAACACCCTCTAAAATCATTATTATTTTGTCATGTATCCTATGATAGGAAAATCCACATATACTCACATGAGAATGGGGTACTTGGTAGAATATATAGTCTCTACTCTACTTTCCTTGCAACACAATGTTGCATACACATATTAAACATCAATAATTACATTTGTCTTAAAGGGTTACATTTGCTTTACATTATTTCAAGAACCATTTATCATAACATAATACTAAGTTTTTATTCTAGGCAGCTTAATTTTTCATATTATGCTTTAACTAGTTGCCTTATACGCAATTAAATTTCGTTATAGTATCATACATTTAGGTCTCATTCTCACAGTTTTAGCAAGTTACTCTACTTTTATTATATTCATTCATTTCAACATATAACTTCAAACATCATAACCATGCAATGACTATCCGAGTTTAACAAAAGAAAAGAAGAGAAGAGAAAAGAAAGTCAAGAGAGAAAAGAAGAGAAATGAAAGGAAAATAAAATTTTCTTTTGTGTTCCCGAGTTAGAGAGAAGTGGAAGGAAAATGAATCATTATGTTATTTCTTTCCAAATCCTCCAAAATCGGAAGGAAAGTTAGAAGAGAAAGTGATCCTTTCATTTCCCTCCACTTCTTTCCACTTCAATCCTTTAATATAACTCGGGAACACCACTTTCTTTTATTTTCTTCTCATTTCCACCAATTTGTTTTCCTTTCTCTCATTAAGTTGAACTCGGAAACGGGGTGTTAGTCATTTTAACGTCATTTCAATTCCATTGAAATAGTTAAGCATGCTTTACTATGGCCTAAATAGTAAATTTAAGTAGTTTTAGTCCTTTGTCCTATTTTTTTTTACGACTTAACCATTTTTCTTTCATAATTGTGCTTAAATTCGAGTTTTATAGTCCAAACTAATACCAAAAAAGTTTTTTTCCCTTTTAAACCCCGGGTATTCGGTATACCCGAAACCCGACACACATAGCTTATACGGTTATACTCTTTGGCCTAAAAGAGATGCCCTAAAACCCACATCCATAACCACGCCTCCGTCACTGAGCTGTAAAACCCTCACAAAACCTTCCTCTGATTGCTACCAGCTGTTTTGCTTTTTTATCATCAATGGCGTTCAAGAACCAAAAAGACAGTCAATCGAACAAGAGAAAGAGAATTCCAGGCGCAACAAAAGGCGATGATGGAGGCAAATTCAGTCCGAAGAAGAAACTTAGAACACCCTCCAACAATCAACCGAACAAGGGTTTTAAGAAACCCTTTGACTCCAAGGCTGCCGGTCAATCTAACAAGGGTTTTAAGAAACCGTTTGAGTCCAAGGCTGCTGCCGGAAAACCTAAATACAACAAATCGGATACTTCTCAGGATGCGCCCAAAACGAAGCGAGAACTTCGTATACAAGCTAAGGTTTGTGTGGAGTTTCCCATTGGCATATGTTTTCCGCTCTTCTTCATCCTTACAGTTGTAAACGAGCTTCATTTGAACTTTAGATGTCAAAGGGGTTACCTTTTCTACCTTCATTATCGTTATGTAATCTCAACTTTTCGTCATAAAAATTGCTAATTACATTCACATGCAACTAAATCTGTACCAATTACCCAAAAGAGTACTAGGTCTAATTTTAAAACTCAAAGTGCTTCTTGTTGTAAAGAAGATAATATTGACTTACAGTTTTAACTAGACTTGCATCATAGCAACAAAATATGAAACTCCATTTCTAACTAGACTTTTGATACATCTTATTGCAGGAACTTGCTGAAGCTAGGAAGAAAAAGAGAAGGCCTCATTACACTCTTGAACAAGTGTGCATTTTCTTTCATATACACTGTTTGTGATGGCTTATGAGTAGAAACAAAACATGCTATACACATTGTCATTATAATTTATCATTTATTATTTCAACACAGGAGCTTGCTTTACTATGGGAGAAAATGAGACGTCGCAATATAGCAAAGGAAGATAGATCAAAGTATGTATAATAAATATATTGTTGCATGTTTTTACTATTATTTAATAATCTCCCGACTCTTGTTATTAATTTCTTTGGTCTTTTTACTATGTTTCAAGGTTGATTAGTGATGCTTTAAGGAGGATGAAGGGTAAAATTCCCGAAATTGCAGGCTCCCATGTTTCTTGTCGCGTACTTCAGGTGATAATCATTAAAGAATTTTCTTTTCTGCATTTGAAATGCTTTTCTTTAAGAAGGGTACTTACGTAATTTTCAACCTCTAGACTTGTGCTAAGTATTGCTCAAAAGAAGAAGGAAATGCTGTTTTTGAGGAGCTTCGACCACACTTTCTCACCCTAGCTTGCAACACTTATGCAGTTCATCTCATTACAAAGATGTTGGATAACGGTTTGTAGTAGAATCCAAATGTTGTTCTCTCGACCAAGTTACCAAAATACCCTTTTCTCATCATGCCTTTATTTACATTTTGCAGCCTCAAAGGAACAACTTGCAGGGTTTATCTCTTCTCTTCATGGGCATGTTGCTTCACTTTTAAGACATATGGTTGGTTCAGTTGGTATGTATTTATTATAAGTTATAACACATTGCACTCTTTTAAACCCAATTTTTAATACTATTAAAATTTAATTTTGAATCTTTTTATCTAGTTGTTGAACATGCTTATCAATTGGGAAATGCCACTCAAAAACAAGCTCTTCTCATGGAATTATACTCAACTGAACTTCAGTTGTTCAAGGATTTAGTATCATTAAAAGAACGCAGGTAAATAATTAATAGTAAATAGTAAATAGTAAATACACATTTCTACTTGATTTACTTTCTATTTTATTATTTTGGAATTGTTCATATTCTAAAAAATAGGTTAGTGGATATAATTTCAAAGCTGAATCTTCAAAAAACATCAGTAATTAGACACATGTCATCTGTGATTCAACCGATTTTGGAGAAAGGAATAGTGGATCACTCTATTTTACACAAGGCACTTGTGGAGTACCTTACAGTTGCTGATAAGGTATGTTTAATGTTTAAACATTATTTTAATTAATTAATTTTTTTATTTCATGAGTTGTATTTGTAATATAATATGTATGTATAGACATCTGCTGCAGATGTTATTCAACATTTATCAAGTGCACTTCTTGTAAGAATGATTCATACAAAAGATGGATCCAAGATTGGGATTCTTTGCATCAAGCATGGAAATGCCCAGGTTTGTCAATATTTATTATTATTTTTATTTTGCATTAATAAATCTAAATTCACAAATTTGCCCTTTCTCTTAACAGGAAAGAAAGAAAATTATCAAAGGAATGAAAGGTCATGTCAGTAAGATTGCTCAAGATAGATTTGGGAGTATGGTAAGAACTAAGAATAATCCATCTCAACTCTGCTTTAATCTTTTATTTATTTATTTATTTATTTGTTTTAATAATTTTTAATTGTTTTATTTTTGTTTTTCAGGTACTCACGTGTATTCTCTCTGTTGTTGATGACACTCGGTTAATAAAAAAGGTTTCTCTTGTTTCTTGTAACAAGATGTTTAAAAAAAATATGAGTAAATAATTATTAAAATTCTTTGAATTACAGATCATAATTCGTGAACTCCAAAAAGTGATAAAGGAGCTTATTTTTGATAAGGTTTTTATTTCATTGTTCCTTGATTTAATTTTTTATATCAACAAAAAACAACTTATTAATTTAAAAAAAAATGATTTCAGAATGGAAGGAGGCCATTATTGCAGCTTCTTCATCCAAACTGCTCACGTTATCTCAGTCCAGATGATTTGTCTTTATTAGATTCATCTATACCTTCTTTACTTATCAAGGTAACTTTTTTTATTCCTTTTTTGCCCCTGGTTGGAGTTTTTTACAATGTTGGTTTTTGGCATCAGGGCGATTTGGAAACAGAAGCAGAAGCAGAAGAAAATGTCAAATCTTCAGAAGTTGAAGAAGATGAAGATGAAGTTGAAGTTGAAGAAGATGAAGAAGAGAATGTAAAAACTGTGACAGGTGGCAAAAAAGATCCATTACTAAGGAGGCGAGAACTTTTGGTTGATAGTGGACTTGCTGAGGTTTGTTTTCTAGGTGGAGGGTATTTTCGTCTTTTTACATATTCGATAAATCGAGAGCGCAGCTTTTGTTCCTATTAACATCTTTGTGGGTGGGACAAAAGGTGGCAGCTTTTGTTCCATGAGTCTCAGTCAAGGGGGAGGGTATTTTTGTCTTTTTAATTTTTAAATTTTTTTTTTTTTTTTATAGAGTTTGATTGATGCATGTTGCGAGAATGCTGAGGAATTACTTCGATCGAATCATGGGAAAGAGGTCTTGTTTGAGGTATAACAAACTTTATAATTTAGTATACTAAAAGGGTAAAATGGTAATTTAAGAATGTGGTTTTGGGATGTGTAGGTTGTTACAGGGGGTGCAGATGGAATACTCCACCCACAATTGGATGAAAAATTGGAATCTTTATATGAAACAATAGCATCGATTGTAGCAATACCTAAATCAAAAGAAGAAGAAGAAGAAAAAGAACATCTTCTAGAAGATTTCCATTCTAGTAGAACAATAAGAAAATTGATCATAGATTGCCCTTCATTGGCTTCCACTTTATGGAAAAAAGCTTTCAAGGGAAATTGTAAAATGTGGGCCCAAGGTCACAGGTAAACCTATTAACCTAATTAACCTAACGTAACAAGAAATTCACATTTAAATTATATAATTATAAACGTTTTTACTTTTAACCATAAATTAATATTTGAATGTTTTCATATATTTGTAGTGCGAAAGTCATTTGTGCATATTTGGAAAGCTCGGATTCAAAGGTGGTTAAAATGGCAAAACAGGAGTTGCAGCCGTTACTAGATAAAGGTGTCCTTAAATTACCCGAAAAAAACCAACCAAAAAAAGCTGATTAATCTTTTTTTTGTTTTTACTATATTTTGCAACTCAAAATTTTGTCTGATTATGTCACTATGTAGCGTAATTTACAATTATCAACTATGTATTATTTATATCGTGTGTGAGTTGACTTTAAAATGATACTACAATTAATATATATATTTTTTTATGTTGTTAAATGTCTATTCTTATACCTTCAATGTTTATCCTAATGAAAAAAGTTATGTATGACGTGCAAATTGTGCAATTTTTATTCTAGATTAATTGTGGTTTGGATTATGACGTGATGCTGATAGACAGTATAATAAGATATAAATAACGAAAAACATTTTTGAGCTAGGGATTTTGAAAAAAAAAGTTGAAAGTTCTATTTTATAATCAGAAAACGAAAAACATGTTTGAATTGAGGATTTAAGTGTTGGAAACAAGAATTGTCGACTTAATGTAACTGTGGTTTTTTAATTAAATTACAGACAATTGCTTAATTTGGAATATAATAAGTTTCATTAGAAATGATTTATCTTGATGTTGAATCAAATTACAAAAATAAAAAAAGGTAAAGGGGTCATAACTCATAACGCATAGGCCCGTGTGGAATTCACTGGATCCACTAAACCAATGATTGAGGGTTGAATTAAGTTCTCATTGACTTATGAATATTACCCAGGTATAATCAGGTAAATATAAATATTAAATAGTATATTATTTATTTATTTATTATAGTATAATCAGGTAAATATAAATATTAAATTGTGTTTAGTTATATTATCCTTTGATTTAATATGTTTATTGTTTATTATAAAGAAAACACACCCAATTTTCCGGCACCAAAAAAGACATCCTGCACTTCGGTCCATGGGGGCCGTTGCTCACGCGGCAAATAGTTGGGATGTCTATTAGGATATCATTGTAATCTTCCCTTTTAAGTTTTACCAAAATATCCTTCCTTCTTTGATCATCCTCCAAAAATTACCAAAAGTACACAAAAGCCACCCAAAAGTACTTTATCATCTTTTTAACTTATCACCACTTATTTTTTCAAACATTAGATCACTTCATCATTTTTTTCTTTTTAAATTGGTCATTTCAACCGGTTACAAGTAACTTTTCGAATAATGCATGTTGAATTAACACTCTTTGGTAGTAGAGTTGGTATGTCATGGTGATGTGACATTTTATTGTGAATGATATTTATCGCGACAAAATTAAAAGAAAACCAAAAATATAATGTTATTTTCAATATTTTTCAAATGAGGCTAAGTAGTGAAAAATGCTCTACATTCTCGATTAAATAGCACAAAAACAATTCCATTTTGAGTCACCCTAAATTTCATTTCGTCAGAAAATGCCACTTCATCGTGCAACTTCAACGGCACACTATAATAGAGTGCCGACTTAGTACATAGTAATCATAAAGTTACCTAGTAATTTGGTGTAATAGCGAAATTGAAAAAAATGATAGCTTGATGTATTATTTGAAAAAAAAAAAAATGATAAAGCAATGCGTTTTGTGTATTTTTCCTATTATCTAGTTGGATATTGAATGTAGAATTAAACATAATTTAAAAACTAATATTATTTTTTGAACATCAATCAAAAATCAATTAACAAATTAACAAGGAGGCATTAAAAAATATACATCGTTTACTTAATAAAAATTTTCAAGCTAATAAACCCTATTAGCATTGAACATTTGAACTTCTTATCACATTTGTTACAATTCACGAATTTGCAAATAATAACTTTTGATTCGAACAACGATTATTTCTTCATTCATTGTCAAGATGAGACCTAATAGATGAAATCAGAAACAAATGTGTAGAGGACAACTCCCTAACTCTAAGAATTGATTGTATTATGTTATGTGACATATTGAAGTAAACCGATTAGGTTCACCAACTCCAACCCAATCATCCATGCTTTAGAATACTATTCAACTCCATTCCCATGTACCACTCTTAAAGCATGAATCAACCATACAGATTGTTTGAGAATTCCAAATCATATAACTTTATAAACCGATTAGACAAATGGACAATACCATGTCAAACATCATTCCAAAACATATAGTATCACCATAACCAACTTTCACACCTTATAAGTATCCATATCAAGATTGTGATCAACCATATTATTAGTAGATTTAACTGAATTTTCCCAAGAAGTCTTCAATATGTAAGTACTAGCATTTCGAAAAGAAGCATAATCACCATTAATCTTTTTAACAACTATATGGATAAAGAATTCAATTCATGAATATAAACCCCTCTTGCTAGTAATATATTAAAATCTTATTAGTATAAAAAGACTACCAATCCTCAACCCACTTACTCGTTAAGGTGTTACAATCTTCCGCTAGTTCACTCATCATAACATTCTGTCCACCAACTCACCATTTAAAAAAAGGCTATGCCTTATTCTCTCAAAATCATTTTAAACCACAATTAGGGCTTTGCATATAGAGGAAAAGTAAATACTCAAACTTTCTAACACTGATTTACTCGAAAATCGATCTACCCCAATTGAAAAACTGCAAATCCATATTACATCAAATAGATAATCCCTTAATTTAATCATAGTGATTAAATTGGTTTTAAGGCTTAATTAGATGACAATGCTTAAGGGATTTAAAACACTCACTCCCTTGAAATATGTAACATCCTCAAAATGGACCTAAAAGTTTTTATGTTTTAGTAAAAATAAAAGTATGTTAATTAGATGAATTTAAATATAGTTGATTAAATAAAAATGACGAATATATTGATATAAACTAATTAGAAGGTTATTAGAATGGATCTTATGAAAACATAAAAAAAAGTAGTTAAAGTGGAGATTTTTTAACCAATAGTTAAATTGATAGCTAAGTTAGGACAAGAATATCATGAAATAGACCATGAATGACTGTAATTGGAAAATTTCAAGTTGCTATAGAAAAAAACTTATTAAATATCCTTTATATAAACCGATAAAAGTTCTTTGTCATTTTGAAGATCTATAAAGTTGGCTAATATGAGCATCAGAAATCAAGTCAATTACATGATTATCTCTTATTCAATTTTTGAAATTGCTATTTACATAAAAGTTTCAATAGATATAAAAAAGACTACCAAAATTTGTTATGCAAAATGCCTCATTTCCATGTGTTTTTATTCACATTTACTAGTTCTAACGAGTTTTAACAATTTAGATTTTTATAAAAATTGACTAGCTCGTTCAAATCTAGAAATAAATATAAAGTGGATGCTAGTTGAACCGCTTCTTTTCCGATTCTTGGTCAAATCGGTTCTAACCAATTTTTAAAGTATTACTTTTTATTCAACATATAGATTAATTTCTCCAATGTTTATGAAAAAAGAAAGTAAATTTAGGTTTAAACCAAGAAAAAAATTGCTTTTTATGCAACATACGGATTAATTTGTCCAATTTTTATGAAAAAAGAAAGTAAATTTAGGTTTACACCAAAAAAATAATTTTCTTAATTAACCCAATAAATTAATAAAAAAGATAAAAAAGAAGGGAAATCATTTTCACATTAGAATGTATAAAAGGTCAAGAAGGTAATTTCAGCGCCTCGTCTCAATCTCTCCGGACTCGTATCTTCCCCGTTGCTTGTCTCGCTGTTCACAACTTTTCTCTCTCCAGATTCGATGTATTAGCGCAAGATAGAATTGTGCAAATCAATTACCCTGATTTTTGCTAAACAACAAAACTTTGATCTAATCTGCAGTTAATCGAGAATTACACAAACAAAAGGTCGTTGAGTCGCGAATCAGCGAGCTTCTGAGCTGATTCCATGGCCGCAACAACAATGGCTACAGCCGCAGGGGCGGTGGTGTTATTGTACTATGTATTGGCTCGGAAAATGACTTCGGCTGATGCGAAGGCCGCCGAGGACGATGAGGGACGGGAATACATGAAATCAAGTAAATCGAAGAGGAAGATCGCGCAGAGGAGGCCAGCTCAGGCGCCTGCCACGTGGTTTGAAACGATTTCGACTCTCTCTGAGACGCTTAGATTCACGTATTCAGAAACCCTAGGAAAATGGCCTCTTGGAGACTTGGCTTTCGGCATCAATTATTTGTTGCGAAGGCAGGTAACGCCTTTTTCTTATCTTCGTTTGTTCTAGTTTCTAAAGTTCGAGTTTGATTACCCAAAAGTGTGGATCAAGTTTGACCTAAATTCCTGAATCCTGACCTCGGGGTTCATCCATTAAGTTGGGTAAGGTATCATTGAGCCAAATAGCGACCTGTTAAAGGCTTAGCCTTTATCATTCATGTGTGGATATAGTTTGATTTGATTCACTTTTGGTTTTTATCTTTGAGTTCATTATGATTCTATTGCCCAAAACCACTATATCTGCTCTATTTTTCGATGATAATAGGCAGTGTAGTAGTTTCAATTATCAATAATTTAGGCCAGAAAATCTAAATAGATTGGAGAAGATGAGAGCAAAAGTTAGTTCAATTTATACAGTCTAATTGCCTTCAATTGGCATGAATTTGTCATAATACGAGATACAATTTTGTATTTCCACTATTTCAAATTAAGTTCATATAGCTATCTGATTAAGCTCACTTAGGCCACAACTCATAGTAACAACTCAAACTACCCTATGTTTATGTCAGAGATTGGTTCCACCCTCTTGCAATTTTTAGTATAGGTTTTGATCATATCTTAAAGTCAAATCTAAGGGTATCTGTAGGAATTGTTAATACTTACCTTATGATTGTATTACTTTGAACATAAATAAGTTGTGCTAAATCTTTATTCAGGGTAATGCACAAGTAGCCAGTGTATATGCTGGAGAAAACAGCATACAGCTGAAGGGACCCGAAATCATTGCAGAGTTAAAACACTATTTAAGATTGTTGACTCTCTGCATGCTTTTCTCAAAGAAACCATTCCCAGTCTTTCTAGAATCTGCTGGCTTTTCAGAAGCAGATGTCCTATTGCAGAAACCAAAAGCAGGGGTACAAAACTACAACTACCTCTCCAATCATCTTTGATAAAATCTTGACTTCCTTTTTCCATATCACTGACTTTGATTTTTTTTTTTAATAATGAATGCAGCTTTTGAAGCCTGCGTTCACGATTATCTGTGATAAAGATTCAAAATGCTTCCTTCTATTGATTCGAGGAACACATAGTATTAAAGACACACTTACAGCAGCAACTGGTGCTGTTGTCCCTTTTCACCATTCGGTTTTACATGATGGTGGAATTAGTAATCTTATTTTAGGTTATGCACATTGTGGAATGGTTGCTGCTGCTCGTTGGATTGCAAAGCTCAGTATCCCTTTCCTTCTTCAAGCCCTCAAAGACAACCCTACTTATCAAGTCAAAGTATATACATACACATAACTACTACCTTTTTATGCTTGTATAAAATATAAATACCTATTTGTATTTATCCTTCAGATTGTTGGTCATTCCCTTGGTGGTGGCACAGCTGCACTCTTAACTTACATTCTTCGCGAACAAAAAGACTTATCATCCATTTCATGCATCACATTTGCACCAGGCATGTATACTACTAAAATTAATTAATATTATAATTATATAAAAAAATATCAAACGAATTGTTATACTAAGTTTGATATTCTACAGCTGCTTGTATGACATGGGAATTAGCTGAATCCGGTCAACACTTCATCACCACAATAATCAACGGCTCTGATCTTGTCCCAACTTTTTCAACCGCTTCTATAGACGATCTTCGCACCGAGGTACTATACATACACAACTTATAATATAACTCTCTTTTGACAATTGACAAAATTGCCCCTGATTTTTTTTTTTTTTTTTTTTTTTTTAATGAAGGTTACAGCGTCATCTTGGTTAAATGATTTGAGAGATCAAGTTGAACAAACTAGAGTTTTAAACGTTGTATATCGTTCTGCTACTGCTTTGGGGTCACGTCTCCCTTCAATAGCCAATGCAAGAGCCAAAGTTGCTGGTGCTGGTGCTATGTTGCGCCCTGTTTCCAGCAGCACTCAGGTAAAAAAGTAAAAGATTTATTACATTCTATAACTACAGAAAATATTCTAATTTTTTATAAATTGTAGGTTGTAATGAAACGCGCTCAAAATGTCGCACAAGCGGTGGTCAGAACGCGGTCAACTCTCTCTGCGTGGTCATGCATGGGTGCGCGCCGCCGCGCTGTCGGCACTCCACCGCCGGATGGTTTTTCCGAAACTACCCTTATACTTGAAAAAAGCCCCGATTCTACCCCAACCACCCCAACTACCAATAACAACCTCGACCGCCGTGACGCCACCATTGACCGCTGTTCTTCTAGCGGCGGGTCGGCCCATGATGACACGGACGAAGAGGAACACCTTATTCCGGTGGACCACATCACGTCGAATGCGAATTCCAACCACATCACAGAAGGTGAACTTTTGTATGAACTTGAAAAGGAACTTCAAAGGCAAGAGAACAAAGCGGATATTGAAGAGGAAGAAGAAGCTGCAGCTGAAGAGATTAGAGAAGAGGAGAAAGTTATAGCGGATGCGGTTGAATCCGAACAGGCGATTTCTTCATCGGATATGTCGGAGAATTACCATTTATACCCTCCTGGGAAAATTATGCATATTGTTTCGGTTTCGATTGTGAGAGATGAGAATCATAGTCGTGATTGTGATTCTGCCATTGATGAACATGTAGAACATGAAGAAGTGGAAAGTGAATGTGTGGGTATTTATGAGACGAATAGGGAACTTTATGGGAAGCTGAGGTTGTCGAGGACGATGATTAACGATCATTATATGCCAATGTATAAGAAGATGATGGAGAAATTATTGGTGGAATTAGAAAAATAGATTCGATTATATTAGTTTGGTATATAGATATATATTATATATTTACACATATATTGTAATTGTATGATATGATTGATGAATGGTGGTTGATTAATTTTTTTTTTTTTTTTTTTTTTTGTTTTTCTGTTTGTACGAAAACGATTCGGCTAACTTTATTATTGGAGTTGAATGAAAAATTGACGATTTTATTTTATTTATTTTGTAAGGTTTTCTATTGTTTTATGTTTGCACTTTTTATACCGAGATGTTGAGCTCCACTGTTCATTAGCTACGAGCTCCATGAACGCAATTTCATTCGGAACTCCATTTACGCCGTTCACATATCCTCCTTGGCGTAGTACGACGTCGGATCGCAATTTCCATCTTCCATCTCTAACTCTATCAGTTCCGTTCTCTCGCACGCAATTTCGATTTCTTCACAAGCAGCGCAACCACCGGAGTCTCTTTCTCGGCCAGTCAACCATGTCCGGCGATATCCTGCCGCCGACGGAACTGACAACGGAGTCCGATTTCGAGCAGATTGTTTCTCCCGATGGAACATTATCTATATGCGGCTTCGGTTCCTTGCTTTCTGGTAATCTTCACTCTTCTAACGTCTAATCCAAATAATCTGTTCTGAATGTCGACTGGTTTCTGGTTTTTAAACCTAGTAATGCAAATCTGAAATCGATACCGATTCTCAAAAGCTCGATTTCAGTATCAATTAAGGAGTAGAAACTTAACACCGTAGGTTTATCAATGTTGAAATCGTAACTTCGATACTCAAACTAAACTTCACCTTTGATCGATTAGAACGGAGCGCAAGGAGTACGTTTCCCGATCTGATCAACTTCAGAGTTGCAAAATTAAACGGATTTAGACGTGTTTTCGCTCACGTTGCTCCCATTTTCTTCGAGCGTGGAATTGCTAAGCCTGAAACTAAGGTACTACTGTTTCCGAGATTAAGTACTTCAGAGTTGCAAAATCACTCTCTGTTTGTTCCAGATGAAACATATAACTATGTCATGATGAGATGATAGTTTTTTATGTTTTCAGGAAATTTCAAGCTTGAGTGTGGAGCCATGTGAAGGTGAATTACTTATAGTTACTGTTTTCGAGATCAAAAAGTCAGAGGTATGTATTGAAGTATTGAACTATGTTCTATCATTTTCTATTTGAAACAAAAATCTATGAACAAAGTCAAAAATTAACCAATAGAACTCGCTCTTATGGTAATCAGATTCCATCCTTCATTGAGAGGGAGCATGAATTCCGATTTTTAGCTGTAAGTTACTATGCAATTTCTTTTCTTCATAAGAATCCATCCCAAATTCTTCAGATTTGTGTTATTAGTTCTAACAATGAAATAATATGTTGGTTTCATAGGTCCACCCTGTAACACTAGAAGGTAGCCAGTATACTACACCCGCTGTGAGTGACACCCTATTAACATATCTACTAAAGAGTTAAATGCACATTTATGCTACAATTACTCACCTTTCATCCAATTTACACAACACTACCAATTTATTCCACAATATTTCACATTTTTATCGATTTATGCAACAATGTTCTATTTTTTTCACCAAATTATCTAAACCGACACAAATTATCAAAGCACCTTCTTATCGACTCATTGCATATTTCATCTAAAAACTAATTTTTTGCATAATTTGGGAAAAAAGTGAAACACAGTTCCACAAATGCACATTTAACCTTTTACTAAACGAGTAAATAACACTTTTAAAGGGATTTACATTTTGTTAATCTTTGGTTATGAATGCAGGTTCTGTGTGCTCGTTATAGTGATGAGGAATATTTCCAGAATAGATGCAAAGGTATTTCAAGTATTTAGTTGAATCAAAATAATTAGATAATAAGAATGTATCCAACTTTTGTCCTTTTTTTTTTTTTCAGGAAGTCAAGAGGTGTACCATGAACGATATGGACGATTTGGTATTGAGAAGATCTGGAGAGATGATGTGCTTCCTTGTCGCATTTATTGTCGGCATTGGTAAGTTTTTCAAAAGTTAATCACACAACAACAAAAATTCATTCATCCATACATCACTTAATGAGAAAAAAAGTTGCTAAAAAGGATAAAATCATTTTGTGTAGCGTATTGGCAGCAAAGAATCTTGGGAATGAAGCGTATGAGAATTTTTTAGATCATACGTATCTTGCAGACCGTATAACAACCATTGGGAAATACTTGGTGACAACGGGTTGTGGTATCATGGAAGAAGAACCACCCGAGGTTCTTAAGGTTCGATATGGTGGTTAGTCTTGATTTTGCTATTTTTAGCAGTATGGGTTCCTAATTTAAAGGGTTTTAAATTAGGAACCCGATTGTAGGCCAACATTTCAATGTTGGCCATAACATTTGCGAGGTGAGAATTTATAATATCGATGTGTATTAGGCTTGGACTCGAGTGATATGTGATTTTTTTTATCATACCCATGGTGGGGATAGGACTAGCTTTATTTTTTGTTTGTGCAAAAAAAGACGTAAATGCCCTTGTCATCCTCATCAACAAAAATATCTATAGAAACCTTGTCGAGTCTAGTTTTTTTGTGTGTAACGAACTCAAGGTAAATGAGGTTTCGGTGAGACATTGTGGTTTGGGAGTTGTTTCCGCTTGTGTTTTTGATCCATCAACATAAAAACAACTGTTTTGATTTTTATACATTTGTTTTGATTCTCTCTATTTGATTAAAATGAGGGGTATAAAAGTCAAAACAAATGGATGAGTCAAAACCATAATTGGAAAGTGATTTACCTCCAAATGTAGTTTATCTGGGGAAAAGAACATTGGGAGTGCAACCTAGGGGAATCTTTTGAATTATAAGCAATGCATTTTTACAAGAAAAATCACTAAGAGTCTGTTTGATAGTTTCTATTGAGCCAATGTTTGGCTGAGTAAGACGTAACCTTGAATCTCACCTGTCTAAGTAAAAACATTTCAGAGGAGTTAGGACCGAATCCATTAAATCAATTAGAGGTTTCTAAGTGTGATATCAAACAGTCTAAATATGACTATCTAGTCAAATTTAGTTTCTTAGTCGCTTACCAGACTCAGTAAGAGGTATATTATATCACAAAATAACTACTTTCTAAGTAACTATCACAAAACAACGGCACATATTGCAAAAATGAGTTTTACATATGTTTTTGGCTTAGTTAAAATACTTTGTAATGGTCTCAAATACAAAAAAGTTATATTTTTTTATTTAGTTTTCAAAAATAATAGGCAAATTTGCTAATAGCGAATAATTTACCAATATATGTCAATGTCTCGAAAATTTTGTACTCTAATACAACAAATGTGTTTGGAGATTATGTTTAAGAGGTTTGTACCATTTTGTGTTACAAGTGAACTAGATTATAACCCGCGTTAAACGCGAGTGGATGCATAAAAAAAGTACAAATCGTTGAAGGACATATTTGTAGACAACTTTTTATGTTAAAAAGAATTGGATGCATTAATGAGTTAAAATGAATTTATTCAATTCTTTAATACATATATTAAACAAAATTAATACCATAAAACAAAATAAGAGATGAGTTGATGATTAAAAAATTAACATTACCTTTGATATATTTTTCATCAGCCATTGATTACCACGGTGATTCTTACTTACTTTTTTTTGACCAGTCATGACAATAAAAAGAATACTAGCCTTTGTCTAAATCAAAACTGATCACAGTAGCAATGATGGACAAACCAATTTTCTATTTCATAATTTTTTTAAAAAATATATCAAAAAGTTATATATATATATATATATATATATATATATATATATATATATATATATATATATATATATATATATATATATATATATATATATATATATATAAGGGAGGGTTCAATTGAGAAAAAAAAATGTTGAGAATGGGGGAATCATTATCAGTCAATCATTTATTTTTGCCGCAAAAGGCTCCAACGTATTGGCGAAAATGGGAAACGAACGCACATGTGTTTTCTAATATAACATATTTCCTTAAATTATGCTAATCATTACCTTAATATATACAAAAACATAGTTTTTATTTTTATTTTTATAAGCTATTTTTTATCAAAAAATGATTTTAAATATACCAAAATTCATGATTTTTTATTCTCTACAAATAGATATCCATATTGATATAGTTTTAAGATAATTTTTTTTTAGTTTTTTATATTTTCAGCTACCATTATTCATAAATGAATAACAATGCATCAAGTTTTATTACAGTACATTCGTTATTCACTTATGAATAAAAAGTATGATTTTTTTTTATTTTTTTTTATTTATTACAATTTAAGTATCATTCATATATGAATATAACATATAATAAACATAGTATATTCATATTTTAATATTGGACGATGAATTCACTTGTGAATATTAACATAGTATATTCACTTGTGAATATTAGATGGTATATTCACTTATGAGTATTAAATGATATTTCATATGTAAATATTACATAGTATTACATGGTATATCACATGTGAATATTACAGAGTATATTCACTTGTGAATATTACACAATATATTCACATATGAATATTACAAGGTATATTCACTTATGAATATTGAAGGTATTTTGACAAATATATATAATTTTTATATGTTATTCACATATGAATAACATACAGACTTGCATATTTGTTTTGTGTTTTTAATAATCATATACTGATTCAGGTGAGAAAACATATTCATATGTGAATATAACATGGTAATTTAGTTTATGCATTTCATCAAACAGTTGGAGTGCAAACAAGTTAACTATTTTAAAAATGTTAAAAACATCAAGTTATCAATTCCAAATCATCATATACTTCCGATTTCGACTTCAGATGCGACATCCTATCTCTGATCAATTTCTCAATTTGATTTTGATTCCCGAAAATCCGATTGGGAACCTGTGAGTATCGATTCGAAGTCCCTCAATGTCGACTGTGATTGCGAGCCCAGAACTTCGATTCCAATTTCATGAACATCGAAGAAATTCCGGTTTAGTTGAAGAAATCCGGATGATTATTGAAGGTTGGAGGAAAAATTTTGATGATGAACGAACAGTTATCGAATTCTCTATAGTTACGTATTTGAGATTGAAGGT